AAAATGAATTCATAAGAAATATTCAATTCAACAGAAAGCAAAATAACACAGGACAAAACGAACACAAACAGTAAAATGACAGATCTAAACCTAACTACACATTTATACGTTAAATGTATACGGCCTAAATACCGCAATTAAAAATAGAGATCGTCACATAGGTCTTGCTCTTAGATCCAAACTATATACCACCTACAAAAAAAGTACCTTAAATATAAAGATAAATAGGTTAAAAGTAAAATGCTGGAAAAAAATATAACTTCCTAATAATAACAATCAAAAGAAAGCTCATTATCAAAGTAAATTTCATAGCAGACAATACTGCCAGAGATAAAGAAGGTCATTTCATAACGATAAAGGGGCCAATTCATCAAGAAGACATAACAATCCTGGGATGCCTGGGTGGCTCAAATGGTTAAGCGTCTGCCTTCAGCTCAGGTCATGATCTCAGAGTCCTGCGTGCTGGGCTCCCTGCCCAACGGGAATCTGCTTCTCCCTCTTCCTCTGCCCCTGCCCCTGCTCTCAAATAAATAAAATCTTTAAAAAAAAGAAGATATAATCATCTTAAATGTTTAAATACTTAATAACAGAGTCAAAACACATGACACAAAAACTAATAACAGAGAATACAAATACTGTTTATAGTGACAGGTAGATGCCTTCTCTCAATAACTGACAGAACAAGCAGACAGAAAATCAGTCAGGATATAAAAGAGCTGACCACTATCAATCAACCTGACCTAACCTGACACACATAGAACACTCTAACTCAACAGAAGACACATTCTTTTCAGGTGCACACAGAACATTTACCAAGACAAATCATATTTTGGGCCATAAGATAAGTTTTAATAAATTTAAGAGGATTCAAGTCATATAAACTACAAAGTTCTGACTATAACGGAATTAAATCAGAAATCAATAAAAGGAAGATATCTGGAAAATCCCAAATATTTGGAAAGCAAATAATGTACTTTTAAGTAACTTATGGGTCAAAGAATAAATCAGAAAGTATTCTGAACAAAATAAAAATAAAAACATACCATATCAAAATTTGTGGGATGCCACCAAAGTAGTCCTTTTTTTTTAAAGATTTTATTTTATTTGAGAGAGTGAGAGAGAGAGTACAAGAGGGGGTAGGGTCAGAGGGAGAAGCAGACTCTGCGCCGTGTGCAGAGAGCCCGATGCGGGACTCGATCCCGGTACTCCGGGATTATGACCTGAGCTGAAGGCAGTCCTTTAACCAACTGAGCCACCCAGGCGCCCCCCAAAGTAGTCCTTAGAGGGAAATTTATAGCACTAAGCAGCTGTATTAGGAAAGAAAGGTCTCAAATCAATGACTCAGCTTCTATCTTAATCTTAAGAAACTAGAAAAGAATAAATTAAGCCCAAAGTAAGCAGAAGAAAGATAAAGATCTGGGCAAGTATCAGTGAAATACAACACAGAAAAACAATAGAGAAAATCAATGAAACCAAAAGCTGGTTCTTCAAAGGTCAATACAATTGATAACCTCTAGCCAGGCTTGTCAGGAAAAACAGAAAGGACACCCAAATTACCACTATCAGTGATGAGACAGGTAAAATCACTAAAGTCTACAGATATTAAAGAATAAGCATGCCTCAGAATTTTAAACACAGAATTACCATATGATCCAGCAATTCCACTCAGGTATATCCCCCCCAAAAACTGAAATCAGGGGCTCAAACAGACATGTATCTACTAAAGTTCATAGCAGTAATATTCACAACAGCCCAAAGGTGAAAACAAACTAAATGTCCACCAATGTCTATGAATGGATAAATAAAATGTAGGCTATACACACAATGGAATATTATTCAGCCATAAAAAGGAATGAAATTCTGATACATGGTACAAGATAGGTGAACCCTGAAACCTGCTAAGTGAAAAAAATGAGATCATAAGGACAATATTTGCATGATTCCATTTTATGAGGTACCTAAAATATGCAAATTCAGAGATGGAAAATAAAACAGAGGTTACCAGGGGCTGGGGGAGGGAAGAATGGAGAGTTACTGTTTAATGGGCACAAGGTTTCTGTCTGGGATGATGAAAACTTCTGGAAATAGGTACTGGCAATGACTCCACAACACTGAATATACTTACCGACCCTGAATTGTACACTTAAAAATGGTTAAAATGGTAAATTTTATGTTATGCATATTTTACCAGTTTTTTAAAAAAAGAGTAAGGGAATGTTGTGAACAATTTTATGTCAATAAATTTGACAACTTAGATGAGATGGACAAATTCCCTGAAAGACAAACAACTACCAAAGCTCACTCAAAAATAACCTAAATCTAAATAATGAAAATTATTTAAAAATAATCTAAATAGTCCTATACATATTTTAAAAATTGTGGACTTGCAATTAAAAATCATCCCACAAAGAAATCTCCAGGCCCAGATTGACCTCACTGGCAATTACCAAACATTTAAGGAAGAAATTAATACCAATACCACACAAACTCTTCCTGGAAGATGAAGAAGAAAAAGTATTTCCTAACTCTATTAGGTAAACATTACCCTGATACTAAAACCAGACAAACACTATACAAGAAAATTAGAGACCAACATTTCAGCAAATCAAATCCAACAATATACTAGAAAGATAATACATGATTGCCAAGTGGGGTTTATTCCAACAATGCAGGATTGGTTTAACATTTGAACACAATGAAATTAACCACATTAACAAACCAGAAAATTCCTACAACCATCTCAACAGACCTAGGAAAAACACTTGACAAAATCCAACATCCATTCCTGATAAAAGCTCCCAGCAAATTAGGAATATAAGAGAACTTCCTAAACTTGAAGAGGGCATCTACAAAAAACCTATAGCTAATATTACACCTAATGGTGAAAGACTGAGGGCTTTCCTCCTAAGATGAGGAACAAAACAAAGATATCTGCTCTCACCATTTCTAGTCAATATTATACTGGAGGTCCCAGACAGTGTATTAAGAAATAAGGAATCCAAATCAGAAAGGAAGAAATAAAACTACCTTTATTCACAGACAACACAGTCATCTATGTAGAAAATGCAAGAGAAACTACAAAAAGGCTACCAGAATACATGAGTTTAACAAAGTTGCAGAATATAAGTTTAATATGCAAAAAAATCAACTATGTTATATTACTAGTGAACAATCAGGTATTGAAAAAAGTTTTGAACTACCATTTACATTAGCATAAAAAAAAAACCCCATGAACTATTTAAGGATAAATCTCAGCCCAGATACTGCAGTATGTGATGGAAAAACCATTAACTGATAATCAAAAGACCAGGGTCCTGGTTCTGGCTTGTTTCACAGCCCAGTGGCTCTGAATCATACAGAGAACAAGTCCTTTCTCTTCTCTAGGCTTTTTTTGTAATATGTACAAATAATAAAATTGAATCAGATCAATGGCCCTCAATTTTTCTAAATCATGTATGCTTCTGAAAATTTGATTAGAGGCACTGAACCTATCCCAGGTAAATGCTCTTAAAGAGAAAAGTTTGTATGTACCTTGAGGAGTTTAAGGATCCTGCAGAGCTCCATTCAAAGACCCTCCCCCTACACCCCTATCCCCAGTAAAGAATACCTGGAGAGCAGATAATCTGAGACCTTGGACAGTCCTACTGTCTTAACGTTATTAAGACTTAGAAAACTACCTGGAAGAGAATTCTTATGGAGCCCTGATCTCCATTAACTCCCCACACACTGACCAGTTTGATGGAGGTGGGGTTCTCCACAACTGAGTAGGCAGGAAGAGGCAACATGATGAACTGCGTGGCTGGCGCAGAGGAGCTACTCTCACTGGAATCCTGTGGGCACATGGAGAGAAGGACAGTTTTATGAGATGGAATGAATAGCCAGGGCCACCCACAACACTAAAGACGGATCAACTCCAATAACCACAGCAGTGTGCTTATCCAAAAAAATGGATCTACAATTATCTCAAAACTTTAACTAAAACAAAAAAAGATACAGACAACTTTTACCACAGAGAACGTGCTATCCTCATTTTACAGATGAGAAAACGGAGGTCCTAGGAGACTTAGGACTCTGAAGATCAGATAAGCGGTGAGTGAAAGAACCCAACTGTTCTGACCCTGTCAAGTGTTTTTAACATCCTATTGATCTGCCTAAACCAGGCAGGTGGCATGCTTCATTATCATAAACAGCCCTGAGGCAACAAACAAAAAAATGGATTTAGGCCTACCATAGAGTCCTTTGCAAGGGGCTACCTGCTCTCATACAACCAGACCATCCTACATTCCTCTTGGCCTGAGCAGAACTCCTACTCTGAGGATGCCACACTACCCAGAGTAATAGAGGGCATGGTGGTGGCTCCCCCGCTTCCAGGGGGACCAGGCTGTGGGATCACTGAACTGCTCTTCCCGTCAACTGGGCATGGCTGGACTTACACCAATGGAGAGACTTCCCTCGTACTTCTAAGTCCTATCAAGCTGGCCTTGAAGACAGCTTCCTTTTTCCTACCCACTCTGCGCCCAGGAAGACCATTTGAAAATTCTCCTAAACAGTTCAAGGTGCCATTGTGTTTGCTGAAACAATCTTCAGGGAACATAAAATCCTAACAGCTTGAGCGATTCCGGCTTTGATTCACGGATAGCCCATATCATTTAAATGCTGTTAATGTACCTCATGTACTCTCTCATGTGAAGAAAGTCCTAGCTATGCTGGGCAAAAGGAGTTGATAAGAGTGCCTAAGAAACTGAGGAGAACTTTAAAGTAAGCAAGCCCAAGGGAAAAAGGTTCAAGAGAACTGTAGTCCTACTAGAAGTCCACACCAGTGGACTTCAATAGCACCACTGCATGGTGCTAGCTGCCTTTGTAGTAACTCCAGATAAAGCAACAGAGACGTAAGTACCAAAGTCACTCACCCTCATGACAGTTACCACTGACATGCTCTCCCCAACCTGGGGGTGGGGCACGGCCAGGCTTCCAGCAGGGAGGTCTGGTGAGCCGTTCACTAAGGTCTCTTCAATTACCAGGCTTGTCTGGTACGGTTGGTGGCTCTCCCCTACCTCCAGGGAAGCCTCCTCCAGGAGCACATCCTGGCTGAGGATCTCCGAGGTGGCGATCTCTTGTACGGCACCCGGCTGGGCAAGGGCTCCCACCTCCTCAGCTAGGGCCTCCACAGCCAGGCACTGCTCTGCCACGCCTGCATGGCTGGGCACTGCCTCCGGGGCAGTGCTGGACACAAGCGATGGTCCTTTAGGAGACATCTGGTTCTGGGCCACACAAAGCTCTAGCTGAGGGCAGTTGCGGTCCTCCTGCAGGCTGCTCTTGGGGATGATGATGTAATCTGAGCGGGGGAGGATCTTGCGGAAACCTGGGATGTCCGGAACCACAGCAGTCAGTGCAGAGAGCTTGGAGTTCTGAGGACCGGGAAGCCGGGGAAGGGGAGACAAGCAGAGATAAATGGTGTGAGACCACATGCACATTTGTTATTTTTTTCGTTTTTTGGACTGTTTTCTGCAAAAGGGACCATAAAGACTCCTCTCTTGACCTAAGACTTCAAGAGGGTCAGCCTCTGTCAAGGGCAATGTCGTCCTCCTCTGAATCACACTTTAGCCCATGTAGCTTACTTGCTCAATCACACAGGAAATAGGTAACAGGGATCAGACTCTGGAAAGGGCACTTATCTTGGCATTTGAAACTGTGAGCTGAAATCCCAGATCTGCAGTCCTGAGCAAATACTTCCCAATTTTTAGGTCTTGCTGCCCTATCCGAATTTAGCTATTTGTGAGTTCCTTTCCAGCTCTGATACATTGGATTGCAAAGTAGCAGAAGATTTAAAAACTAGAATGTATAATGTTCAGTAAAACCCCAAAAAGCACAAAATACAAGTCAACAAGCCAAAATGGAACTCAAGGCAGCAAGCAAGGACTCTGGTAACACTGGTTTCTCCCAGACTTACAAAACAGAGGATGAACCGATCACTTCATGAAAGAAAGTATGCATGGATGGGAATATCTGACAAGAACCTGACTATACTGGGGGCAGCGGTGGGAGGATATAAATATTAACACTGACTGGGAACTTAACGTTCAGAAAATACTTTCCTGACCTTAACATTAACAACACTATTAGGTTGGGTATTATTATTGTTCCTACTGAAGCTCAGGGAGGTAAACTTCCCCCAAACATAAAACTAGTAAGTAGTAAAGACTCCAAGCCAGGTCTTCCAAGGAGCAAGGAAACCAGGCACTAGAAGCAAAACCGTTCATGGCCAAGAAAAAGGTACTTTTGTTTTATTTTTTCAAATTAAACTGCAAGTTACCTAATAAGAAAAACAGAAAAGTTCAAAGTCAACAGTTAAGTGAGAACTGAAATTAAATGGAAATAATTTCAGATGCATCTTTTAAAAGGAACACTAAGTCCATTACAAAAGGATCCTTAAGTACATCAAAAGCATGAAGTCAGTGAGACTACTTAAGGTACACAGGAAGCACTCAGAGATGAAAGTTGAAAGAAGCACTCAGATGAAACATAAAAGCAGGCCAAATCCTTTATGGAGCCTTTACTGGAGAGATAATGGAGAAATGACATTCTCAAGTCACCCTTTGAAGCAGACAGGTTAGAACAAGATTAAATGTAGTAAATGCATAGAATGATCTGGACTTAATCAACAAATCCAGGCATCTAGACACCAGGGAGAGCTGAATGTCACTGGAACCACGGGCCTTGCCACTTAGCAAGAGACTGGAAGGGCTGCCGAGAAGCCAGAATGCCACAAGGTCTCTGACAGGCTCCCAAAGTATGAAGGCAGGAGGGTCTTGCTTTCATACCAGGCAATCTCGGAGAGGTCAAACACAGCACCCAAAGCCTTACTCAGTCTTGGCACATTCAGATGCTCATTAAGTACCACCTTTTCTTATTATATGGTCACTAGACACTTAACCTACTAAAGAGTGGTATTTACTGACCAAGGCAGTATGTGCCAATGACTCAGCTAGATGCTTTATATTATCTAATTTAAACACTATGAGTAGATACTATTATTCCCCGCTTTATGAACGAGGAAACCAAGACTCAAAGGTTAAGTGATTCTTCCAAGGTCACAGCTAGTTAATATCAGAGCTAATCCATTCATGTTCTTGATAGTAATAGTAGAGATGATGGTAGATATAAAGTCCCACATGGATAAGAAAAAAATCATTGACGATGATTTATTTAAAAAATGTTTTGGGACGCCTGGGTGGCTCAGTCGGTTAAGCGGCTGCCTTCAGCCCAGGTCATGATCCCAGGGTCCTGGGATCGAGTCCCACATCGGGCTCCTTGCTCAGCAGGGAACCTGCTCCCTCTCTCTCCCTCTGCTTGTGCTCTGTCAAATAAATACAATCTTTAAAAAAAAAAAAAGTTTTAAAAGTCTTAATAAGGACCTACATTAGTGTGTAGCTTTAAAAACCATCATCACTCTGGGAATAGGTAAAATTTTCCTGTATCAGGGCAAAAGGTTGCTGACTTTATGATGGGGAAACCACAGGGAGTATATATATATATATATATATATATATACACACACACTTTTCCTAGACTCCACTTCCCCTTCCCCCCAGGAACTGTCTCCCAGATTCAGTTTACAAACAAATCATCTAAAGGAGGGGGTACAGGGACACCTGGGTGGCTCAGTCAGTTAAGCGTCTGCCTTCGGCTCAGGTCATGATCCCAGGGTCCTGGGATCGAGTCCTGTATTGGGCTCCTTGCTCAGCAGGGAGCCTGCTTCTCCCTCTGCCTGCCGCTCCCCCTGCTTGTGCGTGGCTATCTCTCTCTGACAAATAAATAACCTTTGAAAAAAATTAAAAAATAAAAAAAAATTTAAAAAGGAGGGGGTACAGACTGGTATCTCCAAGACTTTAGATAACACAAAACTCTTCCGGAAAGAGGAATGCCAAGCCAATAAGGGCAAAATAATCTAAATGGCAGTGGCAGATGGCCTCCACTAAGGAAAACACAACCTCTTCTGCTGTAACATAGCTGTTGTATTCCTGAAGAACCTTTGCTCTACATTATCAAAGAAGAAATCAGAGACAATGTTTCAATTGAAAAAAGGAGTTAAGGTTAACCTTGCAATAACAAGGTTATTTTTCCTGCAGGAATTTCAGTTTAACAAAAAACCAGGAGTATTAACAGGTGTCAGTGTTCTGTTATTGTGAACTAGAAATACGAAATGGCTGACAGACACAAACTAGAACACGTCCTTATGCATTCTTTAATTCAAGCCTGTCTCCTCCATCATGTTCTGTTTCTGGCATAGTGCACAACCACCAGTGTTAACAGAAGAATGTGACATTATACAAGGCAGCTGTATCTACTTCCAAACTCACCAGCCCAATTGCTGATTATGTTATAACTGACAGCAATCAGTATAACACGTATTCATTACCTTCCATTAGTAAGGTGAAAACTGATGGGGTGCAGGAGAAATGCCTTACAAACTACTACATTAAGAATGATAAAACTGACTCAACTCAAAGTTTTCCTAAGAAAAGAAAAGGAAACAGGAGAACAGGGTGTGGGGTCTTCCCAAGGCCTTCACCACTGACGCAATGGAGAAATTAGTTGGGGAAAAAAAATTACTTACAGGATCCAAACCTTCTTTCTCTAATTTGGCTTTCTCCAGGTAGTAACTCCTCTCGGCCACGCTGAGGAGCCTCCAACTTTCACTAATCTTCTTATTGATCTCAGACTGAGGGAGGTGGGGGAGTTCCTGCTGCACTTTCAAGTAGATGTCGTAATAGTATAGAAGGTAAGCCGACCTAAAGGAAGCAATGACTTAAGGTTTTCCCTCATTCAACCAGTAAATAGTACAGTGTCAGGGTTTGAGAGTAAAGAGGCAAAAACCGAGCTTTTCATTTCAAAGCATTTATCTAAATAGGAACTGAAGCAAACAAACATTTAAATAACAGCCCCAGGGCACCTGGGTGGCTCAATCGGTTAAGCATCTGCATGATCTTCAGGTCCCAGACCGTCCCAGGATGATCGAATCCCTCATCGGGCTGAACTCCCTGTTCAGCAGGGAGTCTGCTTCTCCCTCTGCCCTCCCCCGTTTGTGATCGCTCTCTCGCACACTCTAATAAAATCTTTAAAACATAAATACATATATACATAAATAACAGCCCCAGATGATGTACAGGTTTCTCCCTCCAGAAACCTGGAAGCAAAAGCTTGTCTGACTTACTTTTCCATGGACCACTTTTTCTATAAGAAGGATTGGCTCTATAGGCAAATATGAGCAAAGATCTACAGGTGCACTGTCATCCCACTCTCAGGGAAAGGTTACTTAGGGGGCTAATCACAGTCTGGGTTATCACCCACATGCTTTACTCCTCCACAAAGCCTCTGGTCATCTCATTGGCCAACAGCACCTCCCCAGAGCTGAGAAAGGGAAGTAAATTAACTACCAAAGTAACCCAAAAGTGGTAACCTCAGCAAGAAGTTTTGGAGTGTTCAGTTAAGAGGGAGATTAGAGCTATAACATGGATAATCTTTATAGATATCATTGGTACTATTATAATTCTATCTTTTTATTAATTCCTTATTTTAAATGCTTAAATATCGATAATGTTAATAATAAATAACATACTTCATTTGTACATAGCTTCCACCATTTGTATGGTACAATCTCGTATGACAGCCTGAAAACATGATCAAGATCCAGCCAGGAATGGCAACTGCTAGTATCAACCTACCACTTCCTATTCCCCATCTCCCTCTCCCCACAACACCACTGCCCATCCAGAGACTTCAACAATAGACACGACACTCTCAATGAATCTGGACGCAGCCTAAAATCTTCCTCAACACAGTTTCCCAAGCAGTTTGTGTTTCTAAATGCCAGCTACCGAAAGGTGTTAGCTAACCTGGGTTTCTTGGCCTTCTCTCCATGTATTTTATACTTTTTCTTCTTCTTGGGTGGCCCAGGGGAGGTATAACAGTAGGCTTCCTCAATTTCCTCCATCACGACAGTTACCTCAGTACCATCATATGATGCATCCATGGCTAGAGGAAAGTCAAACACAAACAGGTTTCAAGAATCTATCCTAAAGAGGACGGCAGCCACTTGATCCAATGATCCCCTATCTCTGCCAGGGCCTCAAGGTTCAGTCATTTCCCAAACTCAGCAGATCCTAAGCAGCACTGGGGGTACTTAATAAATATACAGATCCCAGGGTTCCACCTCAGCTCTTCTGAATCAGAATCTCCAGAGGGTATGGAAATCTGTATGCTTAACAAGTGCCCCAGGTGATTCCTCTGACCCAGCAAACTTAGGATCACTAGCTTTGACAACTCATTTGCTTATATACACTCCTGGGATATAATAATTCTTCAACTCAAAAGATCAGCCCCACATTACAACAATTCCATATGGTAAAAAGTGAAAAGAATATTTGGCCAGTAGTCATAAGTTCTGGACCTTCTCTCATGTTTCAGTACCTTAAGCGAACTGCTTCATTGATTCATTCAGTTATTCATTCAGACACACAGTAAATGCCTGTATGTAAGAGATTTTTTTACACCCTGCTAGCTTCTGTGACTTTGAGCAGGTCCTTTAGCTATTTCAGGTTCAAATTTTTTCACATATGAAAAGATAGATGTCTCACCCACCTTACTACAGATTTATAGTGATAAGGCTCAAAGAATACCACAGATACAACTCTATTTGAGAATAGTCAAGTGCTACGCAAAGGAAAGGGTTTATTAGTAAAGATTAAAGATCTACAGCTGAAATGCTTAATGATCAGCCTAACCACAACCACCACAACCAAACAGGGACTTGAAAGATTTTTTTCATTCAAAAAGCCAACTTTTTTTTATACTACACTGCTCCCCATTTCCCCAGCACTGTTCAATGAACTTTCTGCAATGATGGAAACGTTCTATATGTGCACTCTCCAATATGGCTATTAAGCGCCTGAAATATGGCTAGTGTGATTGAGGAACCGAATTTTGTTTTGTTTAATTGTAATTAATTTAAATTAGCCACATATGGCTAGTGGCTATGGTATTGGACAGCTTAGGTCTGAACAGTAATCTGACAGACCAACATTAACTCCCTGGCCTAAAAAACAGAAAATCTATTAACAGCTTTTCCTAGGAAAAGGAAGGCATAAAAAAACCTGAATGACTAGTTCAAGAGGAGCGGCCAATATTTGTGACCACGTTCTTAGTTGGAGTTTTACCCAAAAGACTCAATCCTTGGAGGACGAAAGGTTTCCAGAAACCACTTCAATTTTATGAGACAGAAATGATATACTGTAGTTGCTCTTGAAAATCTGTCAGAAAAGAACTTAGGATTCTGGGAAGACAGATCTTTGTATTATAGACCCACTCACATCTCATTTAAACCTCACTCTACAACTGATGAGGTATCTGGTTAAGGTATAATGAGAAAAAGATCAAGTCAGGAGATCTGGCTCCAAGGCTCAACTCTAACCATGTGATCTCAGACAAGTCTATACTACATCCTGAATTTCAATTGTTCCTCACGTGAGATGAAAAGGCTGAAATCAGTAGCTCCTAAATTTGGGGGAGGCAAGAATACCTTTGAGAATGTTGTGAAAGCTAAAAACCCCTCCCCTAGAAAACGCAGACAAGCAATATGTCACCTATAATTTTAAGGATATTCCCCAGTTAAAAACACTTTATTCCTAAGGTTTCTTGTTCTGTGTCATCTCTAATGATTTCCCTTCCCATTAAAACAAATAAACCCTGCATTCTGTCACAGCACAACCAAGAGAACATAACCCACAACTTGATTGGGTAATAGACCAGCACCTTCACAGAATAAGGGTAGCTAGAATTAAAATCAAGACTATGTGGGTACGATGCTTTTTTTACCCTTAATAATTGACTTCTCAGTCCTTGAGAGTCTTGCAGAGAAGCAGTAACTGCAAGAAGAGGATCTGTAAAGAATGACATATAGGGTTTTAGCACCCAGAGCAAAACAATTTAGGAAGCAGAGCCATTACAACCACCTTGGGGTGGGGCAGGAAGAGACTACCCAGGGTTTTTGCTCGCTTGAATACCCCATTTTAAGCCTGGGTCCAAGATTATTTTCAGACCCTAGGCCTCAGTACAGCAATGCCAAAAAATGCATAATAATATAAAGGTTAAAACCAAGGGCTTTTGTGGAAAGCAAAAGATCAGGACCAAGTTACACATTTTTATAGCACCCGCATAGAGCTCTATGACCTTGAGCAACCTACTTACTCTAAGCCTCAGTTTTCTCATCTGTAAAACAGGATTAAGGGCAGTACTTGAAATCTGAACCACTTTCACTGTTCCATCAGATGCTCCTCAAAACCTCATGAGATGGCCTTTGACGGTTCGGCTAGGGGCCCCGGCTTGCCTTTGGGCTAGTTCATTCCCCTCTCTCGCTCTCAGATGTCCCAAACGTACCGAAGGCGGGAGTAGAAGACTAAGGCTTACTGGTCCTACTTTGTGGAAGGGACAACAGGGCTCAGAGAGCCCCAGCACTCGGCTCGAGGTCGCCCAGCATGTCCGCGGCACGGTGCAGCGAGGCGCTCGAGGGCGGGACTTACCCGGAGGAGCGCGCGAGCCGCGCGGCTCACATTCCCGGAGGCGCCCGGGCCGGGGGCTCGACGAGGGGGCTGGCCGGCGCACTCGCGCTCCCCGCTGTCGGCGAGAGGCGGCTCCAGTCGTGACAGCGGCAACAAGGAAATGGAGGCGAGGGCTCGCGCGCGCATCCCGGGGGCTGGAGGAGCCCCGGCCCCGCGGCCCCGCCCGGCGACACACGGCGCGGAGTCGCGACAGCTCCTCTCGCTCCCCCTTTTCGGAGTCGCGATATAGGGTCGTGGAGGGCGGGTATGGGAGCACAGGTTCGCTCCGCAGGCTCTTCACCGACGCCTGCCGAGGGCCCCGGGGGTCAAGCCCCGGGGAGCCCGAAGAAGACAGCAGGGACGCGGTCGTCGCCGCAGCACCGGTTCGGCGGCAGCAGCAGCAGCACCAGCACACCTCAGATCGCCAGGGAGACCCTTCCCGGCGGCCCTCGCGGCGCACCGGAAGCGGCCGGCTGCGCGTGACTGCGTGCGTCTCTCTGCGCATGCGCAACAGTCCAGCCCTGGTCGAGGGGCGGGCTTATAGGAACAGCTTAGATGCTTAGAGGGGGCTGATAAGGCTGACGGACTGTTTCCGGCTAGAGGTTCCGGGAGGAGGAGGAAGCTGCGGCCGCCCGCGGTGGGACGCCCGGGCCGCTTAGCCCCGGGGCATTGCCGTAGGGCGCTCAGGTAACTGGGGCGGGGCTGTGCCGAGCGTGAGAGGTCGAGGCCCTGCCTGAACTCTCAAAGCCACGTCGGGCCCTGGGGAGCCCCAGCACCACCCTCTCAGCACAGTGTTCAAGGCCTGACCCCAGCCCTGCCCAGTCTGTCCCCGCTTTTTCAGGATAGGGTTCTTCTTAGTGCCGCATCAAGCCGTTCTCCTCACCCAATGCGTCCTTCCCACCGTCCCCCACACAGTTATGGTAGTGAGTTCCTGGAGTGATTCAAACTGAGCTGAATGACCAAGTGGAGAGGCTCTGGAATCGGACAAGAATAGTATACTTTTTCCCGCCAGTGTCACAGATTGTTCCACATTTGTACAAGTCCTTGCACGACCCTCACTGTCTTGCAGATGTATTTCCAATCTGCATACTTTTCTCCATGTACCACTGTCACCAACCTCCTAGTCACCATTATCTCCTCCTGGACTGATGCCGTGTTTCCCACCTCCCCTCTTGTCGCTCTGCAATCTGTTCTCCACACAACAGGCAGATTGATCTTTTTGCACTGTAACTGAATCAGTCACTCCCTGCTTAAAACCTTCTAGTCTCTTTTCGTTCAGTTAGAATAAAATTCAAACTTAGCTTGACCTACAAGACTTTGGCTTGGTTCTTTTTCTTAAACTTTTTTTAAAATTTTTTAATTAACATATAATGTATTATCTGTTTCAGGGGTACAGGTCTGTGATTCATCAGTCTTACACAATTCACAGCCCTCACCATAGCACATACCCTCCCCAATGTCCATCACCCAGCCACCCCATCCCTCCCACCCCCCACCTCTCCAGCAACCCTCAGTTTGTTTCCTGAGATTAAAAGTCTCTTAAGGTTTGTCTCCCTCTATGGTTTTGTCTTGTTTCATTTTTCCCTCCCTTCCCCTATGATCCTCTGTCTTGTTTCTCACATTCCTCATATCGGTGAGATCATATGATACTTGTGTTTCTCTGATTGACCTATTTCGCTTAGCATAATACCCTCTAGATCCATCCACATCGTTGCAAATGGAAAGATTAAGGGGGTATAGCTCAGTGGTAGAGCATTTGACTGCAAATGGCAAGATCTTTTTTTTTTTTTTTTTTTTATGGCTTGGCTCTTCATTCTCTTTCCATGTCGCCTCTCAATACTGGTAGTTCCCAGAACAAGGTATATAGTACGCTATAGCGTTCAGAACACTGGCTTTGTGCTGAGTTCCCTGGATTTGATTCCAAGTCCTGCCATATTTAAGCTGTATTAAGCATGTAAAGTAACAAGTTTATGGAGTAGATCTTCAGTAATTGGTTTCCATCTCCTCGATTGGTTCCCATCTCACTACATGGCACAACCATCCATTGGATTGGTCAGTGCTCCCACCAGAAATCTGGGAGTTATCCTTAACTCCTCTTGCACCTGACATCCAGTCCATCAGCAAGATCTGCAAAAACATAGCCCCAAACTGACTACTTCTTACCATAGCCACTATTACTCTAATCCAAGCCACCATTATCTCACATCTGGACTCCTGCAGCAGCCTCCTAACTAGTCTTCTGCTATTTCTCTGACACCCTTCAATTCCATTCTTTACATAGTAGTCATCTTTCTCCTCGATTAAAATCCTTCAGTAGCTTCCCTTTGCATTCAAATTAACATACCTCAACTGGCTATGGCCTTTTTTATCTACAGATTTAGGGCCACCTCTTAGGAAGTTGGATTTTACCCCTTAGGTTCTCCATTTTGCAACCAAAGGACTCTTTCTGAAGTGCAAATCTGATCACATATTTCAAATAAACAGACCTCTATGGCCTCTTTTTGTCCCAGGATCAAGCTAAAATCTCTACGATTTGGCTCTTGTTTTCTTCTCCAAAGATTTTTTTCCTGACCATGCCGTCATGTTTTCTATAGCATTTTATTGCCTTTACACATATTTCCTTCTGTCTCATGAACTTCTAGTTGTTTATACTTTAAGGCCCAACATCAATACTGTTTCCTCTTTGAAGTGCACTGCCCATCCATGTCCCACCCGGTTGATCATCCCCACTTCTATATTCTAGTTCGTAGTACTCTGTAACCTCTTTTATAGTTTTCATGCACTCTAGTGTTTGTCTTCCCTGCTTCCCCGATAGGCTTCTTTCCCCTCCCCGCCCACGATAGGTTTCTGAGTGGTGGGCACTATGCTCCATCCATCTCTGGATGGCTGGCATCGAGCACAGTGCTTAGCACATAGAGGATGGCAAGAATGGATAGATAAATGTGTGGATGTGGTAGTAGGAGTCAGCCCTTGCAAAGGGGCAGTCACAGCATAAGGTCACAGCAGCTTCTCCTCTCCTGTGAGGACTCTCATGATAAAATGTCTTCTCAGGCAGTTACCAAAACTGCTACTGTCTGATCATGTTTATTTCCTTCACAGCCATATCACACTCTATAATTATCTTATTTATCTGTTCTCTTTTTGTTTATCTTCCTCCACCATATTGTATATTTCATAAGGGCAGGGACCTTGATGGCATTGTTCATCGCTGTATCCTTACCACTTGACACTTATAAACACTAAATGAATGTGTGGCTATTGTGGCTATCAGAAACGTATTCCCACAGTGAAAATCCTTCCAGGCCAAATAGTGATAGAGCTTTGAGATCTCACTTTGGTGGAATATCCAGGAGGAGTATGGAGTTGCAGAAATGGCACTAATTCTGAGCCAAGAAATCCGAGCTGTATGAACTTGGGTAGGCCCCTTCTCTGAGCCTCAGTTTCTGTTATAAAAAGAGCCGGATAATAATCCCTTGAATTTATACAGTGCACTGCTATTTGCAAACCTCTTTCACCATTTATTTTTTCAGTCTATTCCCACGGTAGACAGAACAGACATTATTTTTACAGAAGCTCGGAAAGTTTAAGTGAACTAGATTCTCTGTAAGATCTCTTCTTTTTCAAACACTCTATGAGTCTGTATAAGCAATCCCTACAAAACGTCAGTAGCATGAATCCTATTTTCTCTTGACTTTGGCCTTATATTATCATTTCCTAGTAGAATTTTGAAAAATCTGACCCATCTTTTAGGGGGAATCCATTATCTCTGGTTCCTGACAGGTACTCCACATTTTATCTCCTCAGTTTTCTAAAATTGTGGCAAAACAAGCTGAGAGGAGGAACACACTCAGCCCCGGTAATTGTGGCCCAGCACTCATTCTGTGAATATGGCAAACAAGGGGAACAAGAAGCGTCGACAGTTCTCCCTGGAGGAGAAAATGAAGGTGGTGGAAGCTGTAGACTCAGGAAAGAGGAAAGGTGATGTGGCAAAAGAATTTGGTATCACTCCTTCTACCTTGTCTACATTCTTAAAGGATCGTGCCAAATTTGAAGAGAAGGTACGGGAGGCATCTGTAGGACCCCAGCGGAAAAGGATGAGGAACGCTCTCTATGACGACATCGATAAGGCTGTTTTTGCTTGGTTTCAAGAAATCCATGCCAAAAACATTCTTGTGACTGGTTCTGTCATTCGGAAAAAAGCACTAAACTTGGCCAACATGCTTGGCTATGACAATTTTCAAGCAAGCGTGGGCTGGCTGAACAGATTTAGGGATCGCCACGGAATTGCTTTGAAAGCAGTCTGTAGAGAGGATAGTGACAGATTAATGAATGGTCTAGGAATAGATAAGGTTAACGAGTGGCATGCAGGGGAAATTATAAAACTGATTGCTGACTACAGCCCAGATGATATCTTTAATGCTGACGAGACAGGAGTGTTTTTCCAGTTGCTTCCCCAGCACACGCTTGCTGCTAAAGGGGACCATTGTAGAGGGGGCAAGAAAGCAAAGCAGCGGTTGACAGCACTCTTTTGTTGCAACGCTTCAGGGACTGAAAAAATGAGACCATTGATTGTTGGTAGGTCAGCCAACCCACACTGTCTCAAGAACGTCCATTCCCTCCCTTGTGATTACCGAGCCAACCAGGGGGCATGGATGACGCAGGAGCTGTTTAATGAGTGGCTGATGCAAGTAGATGCCAGGATGAAGCGGGCGGAACGCCGCATCCTCCTGCTGATCGACAACTGCTCCGCTCACAACATGCTGCCACGCTTGGAAAGGATCCAGGTGGGCTACCTGCCCTCTAACTGTACTGCCGTCCTGCAGCCACTGAATCTCGGCATAATTCGCACCATGAAAGTGCTGTACCGAAGCCACCTCCTGAAACAGATCCTCCTCAAGCTCCACAGCAGTGAGGACCAAGAAAAAGTGGACATCAGGCAGGCCATCGACATGATTGCTGCAGCATGGTGGTCAGTCAAGCAGTCCACAGTGGTGAGATGCTGGCAGAAGGCAGGCATCATCCCTCTGGAACTGACAGATTCGGACACGGAAGTGGCAGCCAGCGAGCCAGAGGCAGCCAGTGAAAAGTTGTGGCACTCCGTGGCGCTTGCCACCTGTGTCCCCAATGAAATAAATTTCCAGGACTTCGTCACCGCAGATGATGATCTCATCATCTCTCAGGAGCAGATAGACACAGAGGTCATCCAGGGCATGGAGGCTGGTGAAAATACAGATGAAGCTGGAAGCGAAGAGGAGGGGGAGGCATCTTTACCACAGCAGCCAAAAATCACCATCACAGAGGCCATCTCAAGTGTACAGAAACTTAGACAGTTCCTTTCCACTTGTGTAGGTGTTCCTGACGCCGTTTTTGGACAGCTAAATGGCATAGATGAATATTTAATGAGAAAAGTGACACAAACTCTTGTTGACTCCAAAATTACAGATTTCCTCCAAACAAAATAATGTAGGCATTAACTGCCTCTTTTAATTTAGAAAATGTAGTTTACAAGGACAAAGCTTGTTTTTTTTTTTTTTAGATAGGATATTGAACTTAAGTTTTAAGCAATATTATAATGACAACATTCCAGTCCTCTGAAATAATCAGGAAACTTCCTTGAATGGAATTTGGAAATGAAATTTGACCAATATGTATGTTATCTTTTGATTAATCAAATGGTTTCCAAAGTTGTCTGCACCTTAGGCTCTCTTGAGGACCTTTAAATAAATTTCTAAAGCCCAGGCCTTATCCCAGACCAATTAAATCACAATCTATGGTGATGGGGCACAGGCATTAGTAGTTTGTGAAACTGCCCAGGTGATTCCAATGTGCAGGGAAGTTTGGGAATTACTGGATTGACCACAGGAAAATCAAGCACACTGTGGGTCTGGAGACAACTTCTTCCCAATAAGTCTAGCTCAGTGGTTTCCAAATGTTGGCTCACTTCAGAATCACTTGGAAGGCTTGCTCAAACCCGGATAGCTGGGCTTCACCTCCAGTTTTTTGATTCAGTGGATCTTAGGTGGGGCCCCAAAATTTGCATTTCTAACAAGTTCCCAAGTCATGCTGATGCTAATGTGGTCCAGGATCCTTACTTTGAGAACCACTGGTCTAGCTGGAGTCTAGTACTTCTCTCTTCAGCCAGCCATCCGAATACTCCCACTCACTAGCAAAAAAGAAAAGGAAAAAAAAAAAACATTAGCAGTTCTTATTCCAGATCTGTTAACTCCTTTCTGCTGATTTGGTAACTCTAGAATCTTAGCTTTTCTCTTGAATGCTGCACCAGCTAGCCAAGTAGTGAGTAGAGGTACATCTGTCTGTGCCCAAAGAATTAACAGGAACCGCCTAGGATGTGCACACAGCTTGTAATGCCTATTAGTCAGAGGGAGCTGGGGCACCGGGGAATACGAGGAGCATTAAAAGAGGAGATATAATGCAATGTAGGAGGCCTTATATATCAGAGAATCCCGGGAGAGAACATACAGCCCAGTGTACCTCTCACTTTCCAGACAAGGTGGGAGGGAAGTTTGTGGGAGAGAGGACACGTGTGACAGGATTTGGATCGTTCCCGCTTTGGATTATTCCACCTGTGGATAATCCAGCCTGGACTTTGTGATTAAGATGAAGGCACACTGTTTGCCTTTGCTAAAATTACTTCACCTTTATTCCTTTATGTTTGTTTGGCAGAGACATCTGCTAGAGCAGAGTTGATTTTAAATTATCTAGAACTAAATAAATTTATAATCAGATTTATATTAAAGTTTTTCTCCTATAAAGAAGACATTTTTAATATCCTTCATAACCCTAGTATCTGTTCCTAATATGCGAGATAAGTGTCCGTTTCATTTTTAGAAGGTACATACAATACCTGTCAGTGTTGTAGTGTAGTTTTCCGCCCCCATACAGGTTAATTTTTTGGTTATTTCAGAAACCCATAGCAATTCAGTTGTTTTTCTTTCTGTAATCATTTAACTGAGACACATGTAAAACAGATTAATCACAGACTGCTTCCAAGTTGAACAAAACGACAGTCACAAAAAACAGCAGATATTTAAATGGATTTTTGAAATCTTATTTTGTATATTTTTCTTCTTAACAAACTAGTAGATTTTGAATTAAAAGTACTGTACATATTTTAAATCCTTAACACATAGGGGAGGAAAACTGTCTTCTGGCTAAGTCCTGTGGTTCTGCTCATTGTCAGCACATTTACTGCTGTCATTTTGTGTCAGGATTACTGACACAATTTTGAATTCCTTTGCTCACCTTTCTTCCCCTGAAGTCCATTTGGCACATAATGTTAGAGCTATTGAAATCATGCCATTTCCCCTGCCCAAGTGTCTGTGGTGGCTCCCAAATGCCTAAAAATATAAAAGACTGGATTATTCGGTTGAGTGTTAGCCCCCTCTAGAGTTGGTTCCAACCCACATTTGCAGCTTGCTTGCTCAGTACCATTGAGCGTGTGTGCTGCCCCTGGATAGGCCGTTTTCTTTTCTTTTTTTTTTTTT